TAGACCATTTAGAGAAACTCTGAGGACCAGAAGTTAACTGGGAAATAGACATACTTTTTCTTGGCTGTCACACTGGATCCCCAGTTTCTTCCTCTGTACTATGGCTCTTCTTAACATCAATGTTTCCTTCTAGAGGAGCAAATTCTGCTGTAGCTTAGTTAGGGGACAATGAGAGAGACTCAGGACCTCAAGACTGAGATCCTCTGAGAGCATGACCCTCTTTAAAGGGCATCCATTTCGGTTTTGCTGAAGCAATAGCCACAGTTCCAGCAGCACACTCTCTTTGGGTGCTTCCTGGGGAAGGGGACTGCAAGGCCAGTATGAGAGCCAAGCAAAGGGTTCCCTTTTCTCAGTCATTCCATGTGAGCTTCCCTGACATTGCTAGGGGATGCCTTTGATAAATCCCGTCTCCCAGGCAAATGGCAAGCACACTTTAAAAGCTTCTAAGTTCAGTGTGTGGCTGATTGCTTCTGGTCTTCTGGGTGAGAGGAACTGACATTTTAAAAGAGATAATTACAGAGAGAGTTGGAGAGCGAATAAAAGGGAGGCAGCATGAAAGATACCAGAGCTAGTGACTCTGTCCTTGCTTAATGTGCGTCTCTAGTTATAGATGAAGTGTTGCCCTGTTTCTGACATTGGAAAAGGAATTCCTTCCATACTGAAAATATTCTTATTTCCAGAAGAAAGTATTTGGGACTTGGATGTATCTGGTGTGGTTCATTGGAAATAACACTGTAGCAAATACTAACAGTTGCCTTTCCATTAGTATCAAGAATGAGGAAGCATCTGAGATTCATCCTACTCGCAACCAAACAAGGCAGCCTGCCACCGTTCCACAGATGCTGGCCGAAGACAGGAGATACATGGGCAGATACAAAGGATTTTTTATTCACAGTGAACAGGCAACATGAACTTCTTGTCCACATGGGTTTCCCATAGCCCCACTGGGGTATGTGAAGCAGCCCAGATGGAGTTTGCATCAAGAATTCTGAACTTAGGGAACCACGGTCTTTTCAAAGGGCTGCCAGCAAACCTGCTCACCTGTTGCCCGGAGGAGACACATGAGCTTTATTATCCTGGTCAGAAAACAAATCTGCCCTCTGTTTTGTAGGAAAACACTATCTTCCAAGGCTGTCATCTATACATGGATCCTTAAAAGGGTTTGAACAAAGTTATCAATGCTTCATGCTCAGAAGTCAAGCAGAAATGGGAGAGACTCATGGAAATTTCCCCCCAACAATTAGCCACTCCCCATCTTTCCTTTGTGAGCTCACCCAATTTTTCCCAGGCATCTAGGTGCTCCCACAGAATTTTATGTATCACATAAGAATGGCCCCACACTAGGCCCGGAGGGTAAATTTGGATTTGTCTAAATCAAACATGCCAATTCCATGCTCCTTGACAGTAGACTCATTAGGATGGGACATGTTATGCTCTCCTGACCAATAAGATATGAGAGGAATTCTTGAGGGGGCCTTTGAGGACAAATTTCTTAGCTCATAAGAGAAATAGTCAGTCTCTTTCTGCCTTTTGGTCTTGAGTGAAGGTTGTGGTTCCTAACGTTGCTGAACCCACCTTGTAAACACCAGACACCAAGTAGAACATGGAGGTCAATAGGATGAACTTGGGTCTTTGGTGACATTGCTAAGTCCCTAAGTTATTCCTTTAGCCACCTCAAGAGTCCTTATGAGAGATATATGTTATTGTTTAAGCCATTTTTTATTGCATCTGAATGCATCTTAACTGATATAGCAGAGGATTTAGCATCCAGTATATTTGAGTATTCTAGTCTTTGGCTTTTCGCCTTTTTGGGCCCCAATTTATTGGTTTCTGAAATAAGAAGTACAAGAGCTTTCCAGTTTCTGTGTACAAAATGTGTTTGAAACACTGAACTAAGTGATCTCTAAGCTTCCTTCAAATGCCATCATCCTA